TGTCTCTTGCCTATTTCTATGATGTTGACACCAGCTGGTTAGTAGAACATTGTGCGCATGTGGGTACAGTCTCTGCTAAGGTGACCTTGTTAGTGTTAGCCTATTCCAGCGGGCCAAGACAAGTGAAGAAATGACCTTAATAGGTAGACAGTACAGTGGCAGATATTATGTTGGGGATTTCGTAAGTGTGTTGTAGGTAGCAAGCTGACAACCAGGTTATAGACTTAATACTTATTTAAACATGAAGTTGCGGCATTTTTGCGTTCCTTCTTTAATTATATTACCCACATATTATGGGGTCTAAAGGCCAGGCTCTTTGCCGACGAACGCAGGAGACGTTAGTTCACTTCATGTGTGGGGAGCTTTTATACTGGGTTAACCTATCTCTGTCTTTCTGTTGGGAATGTTGTATCTCTCCCAGCCCAAGTTGACCTGACAGGTAGGGTCGGAGCAGTCAATCTTCCACAAATTATGATATAATTCATCTTCATTTTAGGCCTAAAACATTTACACTCTTTTTATTACCATTGAACGAACTTTTAGGGAGAGTACATCGCCACAGAAAAGATCGAGAGCATATACATGAACAGTCCGTTCACAGCCCAGTGCTTTGTTGATGGGGACAGTCTCAAGGTAAGAGAACATTATACGTAACATAGCTTGTGATAGGCAGAGGGAAGTTTCTGTTTGTACATCGTCCTCCTTGACATAGAATAAGTAGAAGATGGAAAACAGACGGTTTTTACCCCCAGAGACGTGGAGCCGAGGGGGGAACGTTTGTTTAATGTTGGTGTAGTGTGGTGTGGTATGACTTGATACGGTACGGTAGGTACGGCACGGTAGGTACGGCACGGTATAAAATGGTATGGTATAATATGGTTATATGTGGTATACTTTGTATGGTATGGTATGGTATGGTATGGTATGGTATGGTATGGTATGGTATGGTATGGTATGGTAAGGATTTTACGACCCTCTAAATTTATAAGGTTCTTCAACTGGAGGAACCTCCTAAAATTCAGCGTCCATCCATGACACGACATATTAAAGTCTAAGAAAAGTCTATAAGTTAGTTCAAAATACTTTAAGTTCAAGAACACCCCATAGGGGTTCAAACCATTGTGGCCTGCACTATAGCCCAGCACAATATCATAAATACTAACGGCGTGCTGGAATGCTCTTACAGAAAGAAAAGAAAAACTAGCAATTCAGTTTAATTCCAACTTAACAATTCCCAAAAAACTATAAAATCTCCCCACAAAATATTGTTCTAAAACAACACTTTTCTTAAACTTTAAAAAATATGTATGCGTTTTGATGCATGCATATATCTGTCTCTATTATCACCCTTCTTTTCGAAATGCTGGCATTTCAGGGTCTGTTTTTCTGAGGTTGTCAGGCGGCTTTTCTGTAGCAGTCTGCCCTTTCTACTTTTTTTCAGTATCATTATAATCTTGTTCTTTTCTTTGAGAAGCACCTTCATTATGTCGACTCATCGTTAAATATAAATCAATGAGAAAAAAATGTCAACAACTAAACAACAACACAACCACCAACAAAAACAACAACTACTGCAAAATCTATGAAACCCTTGCTTTTTAAAAAAATCCCTGAATTTGTTGCACAGTAATCATGACCTGATGGTTACGTTCACCCTCCCCTTATGTGCAAATCACAGTAATGGATCTACTGTTTCCGAATATTTATATTAAAACGTGCACTTTATCTCTCTTGTGCATATACTTTAT